GAAATGTCTAACTTTCTTGATTTGAAAAAAAATCAAATCAAGATTTCTAGTTAAGGAAACGGGAGATCTTATTTGCAAATGTTATTGAACATGATCTTGTCTTGTTTATAGAGGCTAATTTAAAACAATTTTGTTTTAATATTTAAAAACAATAATAATCATTTTATTTTATTTTTTAAAATTCAAACTCAAATTGATTAAGTATCTTCAAGTGAACTTCTTTCTAGTGTAATTTAAAACTTAATTCGAGTAATAAATAATCTGATTTATTCTTCAGGGTCAGGCCAAATATATATTTAATAAAAAAGTAAAAGTGTAATTTCCCCATTTTTCTCATGAAAATTTTCATGATTTCCCCTCCACGATGTCATTTCATTGTATAGAATATCAATTTAAGTGGACGGAAAACAATAACAAACCTAAATGGGACTCAATCGTGGATGCTTTTGGATTCAATTGAGAAAATTGAACATTTTTGGATCCATATGTTTTTTTTTTACTATAAAAAAAGGTTGGTGGGGGGGGGGGGGGGGGGGGGTTTCCTTTTCCTACTTTGTGTTTTTTTTTTACTATGAAAAAGGTTGGTGGGGGGGGAGGCTTCCATTCTTCAACTCGTGTCGCGGATGCAACAAGGCATAGTTGAATTCGTAGGCTGACAACATTGGATTGAACAAGAACACATCTTGGGAAAGACAATCAATATGGGCAGCTTGTGTTCTCTAGGTTGGAGGAGAGAGAGTAAAAAAGATGTTGACCACCAGAAGCTTCCAAAATATTAAAATATTTTGGAACCATCGATTTCGTTGTGCTCGTGGCTTTTAAGTATTTGGTAATATTTTAAAAACCAATTCAACATTCCATTCCATGTGTTATTTTCAAAGGATAAGATTTTTAACTTTTCAGAAATCATGATAACGGCTTAAACCCACAACTTTTCCAAGTGTTACGCGAAGAAGCATCGTTATAAGTTATACTATTTTTTATTCTTTATGCTATTCCTAATTACTTTTTATTTCTAAGAGTAATACTGTTTTCAAAAAATTTATTTTTTTATATATTTTAAATTTTTTTGATATGTTAATTTTAAAAATAAAAAAATATTATTTTAATAAATTTAAATATAAAAAACACTTTAAAAAATAACTATAATCATATTTTTGAATGGGTTCATAATTTTATAATTTTATAAGTTTCATATCAAATTTAATATATAAAATTATTTTTTCAAGGATATAGTTTTTTTGGAGCAATTCAAAATAAATATGTTGATGACAAGAATTAATTATATCATTTTATCTTAAATGATAATATAGAAAAAAAAAACCCATTTATATTATCTAAACCAGTGCATTCCAACCAAATACGCAATGGCAATGAGATGGTCTAATTCAATGCTTCCATTTACGTAATATTACCTAAGATTTCTTTAGTTGAAAGTAGACATATTTCTGATTAAAAAGCGTGCTTAACCCATAATCCGAAGCCAAAAGACAAGATATTCCTCGAAGATGGTGTTTTAAGGCACACATATTTTCCAGGGTCTCCATGTTCACTACTTCAAGTCCAGAATTAGGTAGTGGTATCATCTAACCCAACGAACAGCTGCTATTTTTCCTGTACTTTTGAAGATAAATTTGGCGTTATTAATAATGGGAACCCACCTCGTGCTCAATTCCCAAGCTACAATCTCCGAGTCAAATCAGTAGGAGATTTGGAAACTAAGACACCCAAAAACGTTTAGAGCTTGGAAAATGATAAAATCTCAGGACGTAGCTGCTAATGTGATACATGTGAGGGATGGCTCTGCTATCACGACTATCCTACATATGTAGCTTGAAGCAAAAATAACACCTAACAGGTGGAAAAATGGGAATCGAGACGAGTACTCAGAAAGACTAGAAGAAAGTTGCTAGTTCAGAGAAACTTTTGCTACAGACAAACGTGATAAATGCAGGGGGATCAGGGCAGGAGTGTCGAAGGAGAACGGAGAAAACTAATGTGCAAGCCAAGTGTTCAACACAGAGACAACACAACATATAACAACATAATAATAATAATAATAATAATAATGATAATAATAATAAACGAGCAAAGTAAAATCATTATTCACGTAACAATGTAATTATCATTTCACATTTCCAAAGAAAAATCAACGGCCTTGCTATCATAGATAATTTGGTTTTTTTCTCATTATTTATTGGTTATTATTAGATTAATTAGAGATAGATTTATCTTTTTTATTTCTTTAAGCAGAGTGAAAAAATTAAATTACTATTGAAGGGCTTTTTAGACCTTTTACTTTCTACAACATAGTAAAATGATTAAATTATCTTTTAAAGCAAAAATTTCTTTAACTAGTGTTTAAGGATTTTTTTACATTTTTATCCGAGTTTTTTTTTGTTATTGTCAAGTTAAATAAAAATAATTTGTTTAAATAAATTTAAAAAATAATTTTTTAAAAATTAACTGGCATGAACAATACTGGTTAGGCCAACATTTAGAATATCTTTTACTTGAGCAATGTATTTAAATGCAATAACTTATGAGGTAGTATTTGAATTGTATTTGCATCTTTTTATTTTTAGATAAAGCCTGTGGTATATAAAATTTTAGTTTAGCAATGATGATATTTTTTTTTATCTTCTTTATTTTTGTTCCTAACCTTTAAATTTTCAAATTAGTCATTCATTTTGTTCGGCTTTCAGATTTTGTCCCTATCCTTTTAATTATTATTATTATTATTATTATTATTATTTAAAGTGATTTATAAAATTATTTTTTTAATTTCATCATCCTTTAATTTTATTTATTTATTGAATTTCATCCTCATTTTTTATTTATTTATTTTGTTTTAAATCCTTTCTTATTTGAATTTGGATTTTCACTTCATCACTCGATATTTGATTTGATTTTATTTTTATATCAAATTCAATTTTTATTTTTTTATTATTATTTGTTGTACTTTGATAAATTTTTAGATTAAAATATTATTTTTTATTTCATCATTTAATATTAAATTAATTGAAAATTGAGCTTATTGGTTGAATTCAAATATAGGATTTCATGAGTTATGAGTTTAAAAAACTAACCCAGATTTAAAAAATTCGCTCATTTCTTTTAATGCTCATGTTTTTTAAGTTTTATTCTTCTATATTTATTTATTAAATTTTATTTTTAATTCTATTATAACTCCTTAATTTAGTTCTAGATTCAATCCAACTTGACGGTCAATTAATACCTAATCAAGACTCGATTGGAAAAATAATAAAATAAAGAAAAATAATAAAAAAAAGAATTCTAATCTCTAATTTAGTTAACTGATTATGATTGTTTCCATTACTCTAGTTCTAAATTTTACATGTTAATATAATGTGTTGCTATCTGTCTATTTTACTTTCTACGTTTTATTTTATTATTTAACCATTTGATAATATGTTATTATACCTTTAAGCTAAGGTTAGATAGATGTTAAAATGATGGTAGTGTGAAATTATATTTTTAACTTCATCATCATTTAAGCATAATAACTATTTCACTTTTGGCTAGCCAAGTTAAACAAGTTATACTGACTTACTTTAATATTTATTAACATATTTAACAGTTGATTAATTTTATACGATACTCTGGTCAAGTAATTTTATTTTTATTTTAAATATTTTAATCTTTCAAAGGCTTATGGTTAGCTACTGAATTATTGTTTATGATTTTGTGATATCTAATTTTTCCTTAATTGATCTGATCACCCCTTGTCCGCATACATGAATGAAAAATTCTTTATTATTTATGCTTACCATTTCTTTTTTGTATTGTTTCTGCTTGAGTAGAATTTTTATATCAAGATATTACTAAAGAAAATATTCAATAATAAATATTTGAATTAAAATATTTATTCTTCTCGTCTTTTAGTATTTTATTTTATTTTTGTTGACAGGATTTAATTTTCTGCCACCAGACACGAGAAACTGTGGCTGTCACAATGGAAATCTTTCTGTGTTTAGATGAAGTAACTCTACATTGCATTGAAGTGGGACTTCCTTCCTCTCAGAAAATGGCAGCTTCTGTGGATATCACTATTCAATATTGAAATTACAGTAGTTGGGAGCTCTGTAGGTTTATCTTCTACAGATTGAAGTTTTGGTGCCCACTGAAATTAAGAGCCCTAGATTTTGACGGTGATGCAGGATTGGAACCAGGAAGAGAACATGTGGATAAGTTCACCAATTGATTATAAAACAAGTACTAGAAAAAGATAAATCCCAGATATGCGTTTGGAAATGTGGTAACTTTTGCGTTTGGATACTTATTTAGAGTATGTTTCACTTAAAAAATATATTTAAATTAATGTTTTTTAATACTTTTAATATCATAATATTAAAAATAAAAAATAAAAAGATATTTTAATATTTTTAAATTAATTACAAATGAATACTTTAAAATTCTATAAAATAGAACTTTATTTTTTGCTTTTTAAAAGTATTTTTTTAAATAATTTTTTTTTATTTTTTTAAATTAGTGATTTCAGATAATTTTGATAATTTTGATGTGTTAATATAAAAAATAATTTAAAAAAAATAAAAAAAATATTATTTTAATATATTTTTAAACAAAAAATATTTTAAATAATAATTGCAACTATATTCCTAAACAACCTCTAAACTTATATATATAAAAAAAGAAATCTAACTTATAAAGAAATAAAAAAAATTATTTCTTTTTAAAAACAATTGTAGAATTAAATGAAACTAATTAGAAAAAATAATATGGTAGGGCCGAACGTTTTCATCATGCTTGTGGTGGATGAGCCCCTTTCAACATATGATAGGGTCGACCTCTCAGCGTAAGAGGAAGCCATGTTTCTTCCAATTCCAAAGTACTCTTCAGATTTTTGAAAATCAATCTCAATAATTTTATAATCTTTCAAAATATGACTATTAGGGTTACATCCTAGAATTAAATCAAATAAATAGCACTTAAGATCATATTATGCTTACATCCTAGAATTAAAAAAAAATTAAGATGAATGAGGCGACCTCTGCTTCATATTTTAAAATTCACAAAACTTCAAATACACCCTTGCTATATGATTCTCATCTAATTTCAAAGCAATCAATGCTTCAAAACAACTAAAGAGGTGGAAAATTTCGTTGAAAAGAGAAAACCAGTGTGCAAGCTATCAGAATCAGTGAAACTATAGTTAAAACACTCACAGCTTTCTCAAGGTTTCACTCCGGCCCATGAAGCTTAAAATTTTTCCAGAATGAACTTGCATTATCTGCCATCAACACCTGTGAGTGTCACATTATTAATGGAATATTGTTGATGACTTTGATGAAGTAATATCTCTTCATTCAAGTGGTGTCTCCTTTCAGCAAATGGCGGCTGCATTGGAGTTGGAAGATGAGAAATTTCACTATTCAGCATTGAAATGACAGTAGAAGCAGTTGGTCTATCTTCTGGGAACTCTTGAACACACAACAGGCCAACATGTATGCATCTATATATTTCCGCCTGTGAACTCGGATCGGATATTACTGGATCTACTAGAGCTGAAATGTTGCCTTCATTCCATAATTTCCATGCCTGCAAAGCGAAGTAGTAATAGAAATAAGCATGCCGCAGTTTAAATTTTGTCAGAAACGAAAATTCAAGCTTTACATATGACTTATGATGCATTGGGACATACAAATCCTAAGAGACTCAAGGCTTGCTCATTCCCATAGAAACTAGTATTTCTTCTCCCGCTTACAACCTCCAATAATAAAACTCCAATGCTGAAGACATCTGATTTCTCCGAAAATCTACCCTCCATTGCATATTCAGGAGCCATATAGCCACTGCACAACATCATTAATTAAAACATGAGAAAGATTTTTGACCTTGCATGGTTTGAATAGGTAAGCTCAATGCATGTGATGCAGTAAAGGGAGGAACTTGAATATAGATAAAGGGCGATCTTACAAGGTTCCAACTACCCTTCTAGTATTGGCTTGATCTTCATTGCCACCAAATATCCTAGCCATTCCAAAATCTGAGATTTTTGGCTTGAGTTCTTGGTCCAACAAAATGTTGCTTGCCTTCAGATCTCGATGAATAATTCGTAGTCTTGAATCCCTGTGAAGATAAAGGAGACCTCGACAAACTCCCTCAATGATGCTGAATCGTTTTTTCCAATCTAGAGATTCTTGCCTCAGTGGATCTATATATATTCAAGCAAGAAACAAACGAAATCACGAAAAGGTTAAAAAATGAATGATCAAAGAAGGTAATCTGATTCACATGTAATGCAGTTAGCATATAGGAAGGGCAGTAGTTCGAACCAAAAAGAATTGCATCCAAACTGTTGTTCGGCATATACTCGTAGACCAGCGTCTTTTCGTCTCCTTCAACACAGCAACCCAGCAGCCTCACGAGGTTTCGATGCTGAAGTTTAGAGATCACAACAACCTCATTCATAAATTCTGCAAGCCCTTGCCCAGATGCTCTTGACAGTCTTTTCACAGCTATGTCCTGTCCATCTGGCAATTTTCCCTAGACAATCACACCACTTTATATGTAGCTGTTCAATTTCATTAACCATAAACGCCACTAGAGAAACAACATTACCTTGTACACCGGACCAAAACCACCCTGACCGAGCTTATTCGATGCATCAAAGTTGTCTGTTGCGGAAGTCAGCCTCTCTAAGCTGAAAATAGGTAGTTCCTGGAGTTTAACTTGGTCCATGCTGTCTCCAGGCATGTTCCCATCAAAAAAAGTTCGATGTGTTAAGTTCTTATCAGAACGCAACTTCTCACCCCTTTCCTTTCTCGCTGAGTTAGATTCAAGATGCAAGCCTTAGTTGAAATTGCATGTTTTTCAAATCTTTTAGTTCTATTTATTAGCATATTCTTATTACCTCTATGTTTAGACATGAGCCTCCATATCAAAAAAGCACAGATCATGGCCATGCTGATTGTTCCTATAATAGCAGTTAGAATGACAATGACTTTTTGTCTACTGTTTCCATCTGCAAGTCAGATCTCTTTGAATTAACTTAACAGCAAATGACTTCAAATCATTATAAGCTTGCTAGGAAATCAGGCAGATGATAAAGAGATTTACCTAATTCTGAATACTCCAAGCGGATGTAAAGATCAGCCCCATCTGTGGAAAACTCCTGTAGATCAATTAGATCTCCACTCCATGACATACATCCAATACCAGAATAATATGCATAAGCTATGCATGAACAATTTGTCAAGCACTTGTTTCGGCATTCATTTTCATCCGAAGGAGACCATTGAGCAAAGTCCGGCACCTTCATATTACCTAGCTTCAAAAGGCCATCATTCTTTCCTGCAGCTTCACTCCCATTATTTAGTCTCTCACACTGCAATGATTTCCTCCTGACACAACCACTAGTCCAGTTCCCTTTATACCATTCTTCTGGGTTTTTTGGCTGGAACCCTCTTAAACAGTTGCAAATAGGTGATTTCCGTGAATTACAGTTTCCGAAAGGCCCACATTTGCCGTACAATTCACATTCCGATTGTGGAATACTCCATAGAACAGTCCTATCCTCCATGCCATCCTCCCAACGTGTTTCCTCCATTTGCCCTTCTGAAGTCAACACAAAGCTCGACAAGGAGTGATTAGCGTAAGTGAAAGTTAGATAAATAATACCTTCACCATCATCTACTAGATTGAGCCCATAAACAGTTGCAAAATTCATATGAGGAACTCCAATAAAGACCTGACGGCTCCATGGACCACTCCGAAAATATGGATAATTATCCTTCCATATGAACATCTCAGGTATGCCTAGATTATTTAGACCAGCAGTGAAGCTTCCAATGGATGGATCAGTAGGGCTTTTCCACGATGTTATAAGAATCTTCTCACCCGTTCTTTTATTGGCACTTAATTTCATATTGGAAAAGAATGTATCGGAAGGATGTTGGAAGCTCTCCCACTTGATTTCTCCGTTGTTATCTCGCAAAACAAGGTTTCCAGTGTCAGAGAGCTGTGCACTTGAATTTGAAACAGAGTTTGAAACGTTACTTGACCAGAGAATCTCTTGCTGCCCATTCAAAACTACAAGATTTCCATCTTCGGATATGGTCAAAATTCCAGATGAGTCATTGAGAGGTTTGTTTCTATTAGCAACCCATAAGGCAGTCACCACAGGAATTTCATTAAACCAAATTCCTACATACCGATTGGTAGAATTGACAAGGCTGAAAAATCCCAGTTTGTAGATACTGCCGTAAGAGACTATAGCCTCTGGATCCTTGAGGATTTGAGTTGATGTGATGGTATCTATGGCACTGATAATCTCTACACAAAGAGAAGATACTAAGAAGAAGAGCTATTGAAATTTTGACTCTGCCAATTCCCATAACTTCTAATTTCTACTTCATGATGAGCATGAGATGCTTCCTATGAGGCTTATTTATTTACTTTAATTTCTCAATTGGCAGCCATGTTCTTATCCGCGTACTGTCCTTACATGGGTTGATGAATTGACGTTTCTGTCAAAAGTTCAATGTACAAACAGTGTCAGTTTTCGCACAGATTGCATTAATCCTATATCCTTCCCAAATCCATTCAAACTTCCTATATTGGGACTTTTGTAAGAAAGAGGCTGCTCATCACAAAGGCCAAAATAGACCAGGGAGGCCTATTGTTAGTTTCCAACATTAAACAGCGCAAGAAAGTTCTCTCCTTCCACAATTTGTTATATTTAATGTTTTCTATTGTTCTCTCCTGTTGCCATCAAGACATGTGAATATAAGAAGACAAAGCAGGGTCTATCAGTGCCCAACTTGTCTAAAGAGTACAGCAATGTGTCAATTTTCCATCAGCAGTAGATCATGATGCAACTGGAACGTTTCCTGATTCGTGAACAGATGGGGCTCTTAATTTTAGCCTTCTTCCTTAACTTCGATCTCTGCCTCAGTGGGCTGTAGGTCTTTGAAAGAATCCGCTGGAACTAGTGAGCAAAGGGCCTTGCTGCCAGAGCAACTAAACTTTATGAAAAACGAAAGTATTAGCGGGAAGATTGCCCCACTCTTATGCTAGTTAGAAAAAAAACAAAACCTATAACGGAGATCTCATTGAGAATTTGCAGATAATCGGGGGGCTAACATAAGGTTTCCCTTCTGGGTTGTTTTTCTCAAGTTGGAATTCAATTTAGTCCCAGAGCGGGATGCGAAAAAGCACGGTGAAATAACTTGGTTGCTTCCATTGAGTCCATGAAAAACGACACAAAACTGAATTTGATGCCAAGAGTTTTGACCACGTTGACATCAATCTCAATTCCTCCACAGCACTTGTGAAGGACAACCTCATTTCAGTTTTGGTGCATGCATGCACCAAATGTTACATGTAGGTTCCGGAGTGCAAGTGGATGGATTTATGATTATAAAGCCACCTAAATGCATCTTATCCATATTCCACAGCCAGGAGAAGCACATAGTTTCTTTAGATGGTTTTTGAAAGCCCATAAATGTATATCCACTTCAGGTACGACAAACACTTCATGTCCAAAATAAGGTAGTGGCATCTAATCCGACCAACACCTGCCTGTGGAATACATACCTATCTTTCCTAATCTGAAAGCTTTCCAGAACAGTTGATTATAGCCAGCAAATCCATTATAGAACATGGTCTATAAAATCTAGTTGTGAAATTTGAGCACCATCCAAAGGTAGAATCAAAATTTATATATACTCGTTTTTGCGAGTCAAGTTATTTGTCGCAACAAGACAGTTTTCCTATTAACCTTGTTCATAAATCTGCTGCTACATCAGAATACCTCCATGCCCAAATTACAATCTAAAATTTCCAATTTAATTTTTTAGGAGATTTGGGAACTACAATACTCATGAAAAACCTATTAGAACTTCAACATTGAGAAAATCCTGCTAGATGCTAATGTGATACCTGAGGGAGGACTCTGCTATCACTAGTATAATATATAGCATGAAGGGAAAACAACTTAAAGAGGCGGAAAATTTTGAAATGAGTACCGTGTGAAAAATTTGTAGAAAAGAGAAAACCAGTGTGCCAGCTATCGGAATCAATAGAACTATGGTTTAGCACTTGTAGATTTCTCCACGTTTCATTATTAAAGGGGTTCCAATGTTGTCTTTAACTGCCTATCTTTTTGTTTCATATTTCTGATTCTACGTGGATGCCCTATGTTATCTGTAACCTAGAGCATAGATTTAGCTTCTAATTATACATGCGCCTGAATATGATGGAAAGCTAGTAAACAATCATTAAAACCAATCAAAGCACAGTTAGTAACAAGATTGTCTCAGTGGATAAGTAAAATGTTAGGATACTGGCATGCAAACCCGACAAGACAACAGGTAAGGGACAAGATAAAATGAGAAATGACACACACATAAAATACCTTGAACAGCCCATATTACTCTTCGAGAGGCATGTCGGATTTTCGGATTCAGCCTTAATACAGAACAGAAAGAACATTTAACGTTTGCACATTTCAACAATGATAATCCACGATCTAGCAGCATACGTTACAAGAAAAATAATTGAAACAGGAACTTATTATCTGCCATCAACAATTGTGAGTGTCACATTATTACTGGGATATTGTTGATGGCTTTGATGAAGTAATGTCTCTTAACGCAAGTGGCGTTTCCTTTCAGCAAATGGGGGTTGCATTGGAGTTGAAACAGAAGAAATCTCACTATTCAGCATTGAAATGACAGTAAATGCTGTTGGTCTATCTTCTGGAAGCTCTTGAACACGCAGTAGGCCAACATGTACGCATCTAAATATTTCCTTCTGTGAACTTCGATCGGATATTACGGGATCTACTAGAGCTGAAATGTTGCCTTCATTCCATAATTTCCATGCCTGCAAAGCGAAATAGTAATAGAAATAAGCATGTCGCAGTTTAAAATTTGTCGGAAACGAAAATTCAAGCTTTTACATATGACTTATGATGCATTGAGTTGTATGGACATACAAATCCTAAAAGACTCAAGGCTTGCTCATTCCAATAGAAAGTAGCATTTCTTCTACCGCTTACAATCTCTAAAACCCCAAAGCTGAAGACATCTGATTTCTCCGAAAATCTACCCTCCATTGCATATTCATGAGGAGCCCATATAGCCACAGAACAACATCATTAAAACATGAAAAAGATTTTTGAGCTTACAAGGTTTGAATAGGTAAGTTCAATGCATGGGATACAGTGAAAGGCTGGAGTTTGAATAGACAAGGGTTCTTAGGGAGTTCCAACTACTCTTCTGGTCAGAATAGTCGTACTAACATGGAAATGTTAGACTTTGTATATATTATAATTTTAAATCATAGCTGGCAGGGAAGTCACCAACATGTGATTGGCTAATCTTTCCATATTTTAAAATGTCATGTTTATTATATATTAATTTTATGATGAGTATTACCTCATGATATTTCTTATTATGACTACTTGTGAAACTCACTTGTAAAAACAGAAGCCAAACTTGTATATATTACTTATTGTTGTATTATATTATAAATATATATTAAATATTATTTACTCAATGTATTGCTAAATTTACTTTTTTATTATTTATTATTTTCAGGCGTATAACATTATTTTATTAGGTTATTTTTTTTTTGGACTTCTAGAACCAAGTTTTTTTATTATAATTAATGCTATTATGTTATGTCTAGTCAAATGCTCCATATTCGCTGAATCTATATTAAGGATTGTATTAAGATGTTAATACATATTATGAAAGTAATTATGATAGCAAATTTATTATGAAATTAATTATGATAGCAAATGCTACTTAGTCCTCCGATTTACATAGAAAAAAATTTATATGCAAGTTTAGGTTCGTATATGATAAAAAACCTAGATAGAGGACCTTGTTTATCTGCAAGTCATGAATCCAGGGATCATGTCGTGACAAAATCATTGATTGGCTTGTTTCTGTTGGCTACCCATAGTACTTAAGTTGCAACTGATATATTACTGTACCATATTCCGACATATCGTTTGTTGAATTAGCTGGGCTGAAAAATCCAAGCTCGAACTTATTTACGGCAGGTACTCTAGTTTCTGGATCTTTGGCGGGTTGAGAAGAGTGATGGCATCTACTGCATAACCATAAACTGAACAGGAATACGATAGAAACAGAAGAAGAGCTACAGCAACTTCGCAGTTGCCAAGTCCCATAACTTGTAATTGATGAGAATGGATGACTAACAAATGGCTAACTGATAGTTTAGAAAAAGGATGCCATGAACAAGAATATTTCTTTTCCAGTCCTTTTACTTAATTCCAATCAAAATATTGTTTTTCAAAGATAAACTATGTTTAGCAATTAAAAGTAGGAATTTTTTTTATGTTTTTTGTTATTTTCCTTGGATAAAGAATGTTTAACCACACTGTTATATTACATAAGCAGGGTTATGTTTTACTGTAAAATTTTGACCTTGTTATATTAAAATAGTGAAATTTATTCAGGATGAACCTGATCAACTAGCTTGGAAAATAACATTTTTATTTTTCTATGATATTTTCACAAGACATTCACCTGCCTCAGATGATTGACCTGCTCCTGTTAGGTGTTGCCTATCAGCTCTTAAAATTATTGTTTTAGTTGGTCTATTTTGACACTGCCTGCAATATTTACGTGGGTGATGATTAAATTTATACTCTAAAACCATCGAGTGCTATTTACACCAAAGAAGTCTAAAAAGTCAGGTCAAAAGAACTTGCTGTATATCATCACAATGATAATGAGGACTGTTTTTTAAACAAATTTTCAGTGCAATAATAGCATATTTTAGGTACCAATCTAACATAATTGAGCTCATATATTGAATTGTTTTTATTATACATTATGATATAAGACCATAATCTTTAATAGTTATGAACTGTTTCGTAAACAAGCTGCCAAACCCAGCTTTGACGAAGAAACTTGCAGTTTCCTTATTATTGTTAATCTGAATCCTGCTCTCATGACCCTTATACATGGAGATTACAAGCTAAAGATAAGAACAATCGTACTAATCTAAACAATCCTGATAAAGCTAATTGGAAACTAATCTAATTTAGATATAGACATAGTAGAAACCAATTGCACTCCCCTTCAAGCTGGAATTCCCTTGTTCTAATCATTTCTCTTATCTTAACAAAGCTTCCAAAAGACTCTGGGTTGGTGAAAATATCTGCCGCTGACATTACTTTTGTTCAACTGTCTTTTATTTTACATGTTCACGAATAAAATGAAATATACCGATGTGTTTGCTTCTCCCATGTTGTACTGGATTCTTGGCTAGTTTGATTGCTGCCTCGTTATGCACCTATATAGTCATCGTCTTCTGCTGAATGACCCATTGCTGCCAGCAAGTTCTTCAACCAAATAGCACCACAAACTGTGAAGGCGGTGGCAACGTATTCTACCTAACATGTGGACAAAGCTCCAGTGTTTTGTTTTTGCAGGTAAATCAGACCGAGATTCTCTAAATGAAAACACATCTTTTCGTAACGGAGGTACAGAAGCCGTCATTTCGAGCATTTTGTCAACATTCCGAGTTTTCTTATTTTCTTTAATATGGAAGTAGAATACAAATACCACAAAAGTAACTTTCTGATGTCAATCTTACCAAGTCATTCCAAGCAATGTAATGTTATATAACATTTCAGAATGATCAAACAGAAAAGTAAACATGTTCTGACCTCTATCGGCCTTTAAGATCAGAAATTGTCACATTGTTAATGGAATTTATCTTCTGGCTCTGAGGAAAGGACTCTGTACCCGAGGAACTCTGCCTTTCAACAAATGCTGGTTTCTTTGGAGTGGGAAGATCCACAATTTCACTATTTAGCATGGAAATGATAGTTGACACGGCCGGTCTATCTTTCGCCAATTCTTGCACACACAGCAGACAAACATGCATGCATCGGAATATCTCCACCTGAAAACATGGATCTGATATTGTAGGATCGACCAAAGCTGCAATGTCACCTTCATTCCACAGTTTCCAAGCCTGAAAATGTAGATACAATCATACAAGTAAGAGTTTGCAAGTTTAATAGTATCAGAAATTGAAAGGTGCTTTCCAAATGTATCTCAGACAGTGTGGCGGACAGGCATACAAATCCTACAAGACTCAAAGCATGCTCATTGCTATAAAAATGAGCGTTTCTTCTCCCGCTCACGATCTCCAGCAACAAAACTCCAAAGCTAAACACATCTGATTTCTCTGAAAATCTTCCTTCCATTAAATATTCAGGGGACATAAAGCCACTGCATAAGCATAACAGCTTTCTGAGCTCAAATTAGAGAAACAGTCATAGGAGTGAAAAAAAAATAAAAATACTTACATGGTTCCTACAACCCTGGTAGTATTCACTTCATTGCCGCCAGAAATCCTGGCTATTCCAAAGTCTGAAATTTTTGGATTCAGCTCGTGGTCCAATAAGATGTTACTTGGCTTCAGATCTCTATGAATAATTCTTAGTCTAGAATCTCTGTGAAGGTAAAGAAGACCTCGACAAATTCCATTAATAATGTGGAAGCGCCTTTTCCAATCTAGTTGTCCTTTCCTGAGTGCATCTAAACAGATTGTATCCAGAAAACATCATGAGAAAACAAGGGCAAATGAAAATGAGTCAAGAAAAGTAGCGATCTGCTTCTCCTGCTTGAAACTTATGATCTATGAAATTGAAAATGAGTCAATAAAAGTAGTAGCTTAACAAAAAAGAGCTGTAGCCCTAACCAAAGAGAAATGCATCCAAGCTTGTATTCGGCATGTACTCATAAACCAACATCATCTCTTCTCCTTCAACACAGCAACCAAGAAGTCTCACAAGATTCCTGTGTTGGAGTTTAGAAATCACCGCGACTTCATTCATAAACTCTTCGAGCCCTTGACCAGATGTTCTAGAAAGTCTTTTCACAGCTATTTCCTGTCCATCTGGCAATTTTCCCTGCAATGTCATATCAAACTGATAAATACCTATTTGCTCTAAATAACTGTAAAGAACCTTTAGTTGAGAAGAGTTACGCTGTATACTGCACCAAAGCCGCCCTGCCCAAGCTTCATGGATATGTCAAAGTTGTTTGTAGCGGTTTCAAGAATTTGTAATTTGAAGAATGGTTCAAGTTTAGCTTCCCTGATGTTTTCGGGCAAGTTTCCATCAAAAACTGTTTCTTGAGCTTCTGACGATAAGGTCTCCGCACTTATCAAATTCCTTTCTGAATTGAAGTGGAAGTATCGTTATTATTAGAGAATTGTTTTCTTCTTTTCTTGTAAAAATGGTTAAGTTTAGAAGTCCAGTAAGCTAATACGACGTAGCATATTACCTCTATGTGTAGCCATCCACTTCCAAGAAAAAAACACACAGATGCAGATAGCTATGGCTCCTACAATCACTGACATACTGATGATTACTTTCATGTTTCTCTTGTTATCTGCAACTAAAAAATTGTACTGATGGTTATTTAAGAAAAGTATAATGGAAATATGAAAAAACTTATCAATATTTTCTCTTCCTGATACAGAACTCGATGTATCTACACTAGTTATGCACATCTGATAAACGAAACACTAGTGAAAGGAAATCAGAAAATATTATTATTATTACCAAGTTCTGTATACGCCAGGCGAATGTTGAGATCTGTCCCTCCTTCAGAGAACTTTTGTATATCAATCAAGTTTCCTGTCCATAACATACAGCCAAAACCATTATAATATGAATAAGCGACACAAGAACAATTCCTCAAGCACTCATCTTTGCATTCTTGTTCGGAGGACGGATATGACCAGTACTCGGCAAAGGTTGGCACCTTCATCATCTCTAGCTTCATAAACCCATCTTTTCCCACTTCACTACCATTTTGTATTCCATCACACTGCAAAGATGTCATCCTAACACATCCGCTAGTCCAAATTCCTCTGTTCCATTCATCTTTATTTTTTGCAACAAACCCTTTTAAACATGTGCAGATAGGTGAATTCTGTGCATCGCAGCTTCCAAATGGCCCGCACTTGCCATAAATATCACACTCAGTTGATGGAGCTTCCCAGGTATACTCCCAACCTCCCTTCTCATAATCCCAGTATTGTTCTATAAATTTTCCATTATAAGTCAAAACATACGTTGCACGGATAACTGGGTCTTGAATTAAACTAAGAGTGAAAGTGCCATCTGCTTCTTCTTGTACACTAAATCCTTTTAAATACACAGAAGAATACATTCCTGGTATTCCAATAAAATTCTGACCACCCCATGGACCACTACGCCAAAATGGACGACCATTGTACCAGATGAAGAACTCAGGAATTCCTAATGGGTTGAGACCAGCAGAGAAATTTCCAACAGAAGGATCAGATGAGCTTTTACATGACCTTAGCAGTGTCTTTTTCCCAGTTCTTGCGTTAGAACTAAGTGTCATCTTTGGTATGTAAGTATCCATAGGCTGCTGGAAACTTTGCCATACAAGGTTTCCATTCGGTCCAGCTTTCAAAACAAGGTTTCCATCATCAGTAAGCTGTGCAGTTGTCTGATAGAGCCCAATTGAAACATTTGACGACCACAGAACCTCTTCCTGACCATTCAAAACCACAAGATTTCCATCTTCAGATATTGTCATCATCCCAGAAGAATCGTTGATTGGGTTGTTTCTGTTGGCCACCCAGAGTACTTGAGTTTCTGCTGATATATTACAATACCATATTCCGACAAATCGATATGTTGAATTAACTGGGCTGAAAAATCCCAGTTCGAACTTATTGTCGGCAGAGACTATAGCTTCTGGATCTTTGATGGGTTGAGAAGGAGTAATGGTATCTCCTGCTTCACCATAAACTGAACAGGAACACGATAGAAACAGAAGAACAGCTACTGCAACTTCGCAGTTGCCGAGTCCCATACTTGTTATTGATGAGAATGGAAGACTAACAAATGACTTCATGACTGTTCAGAGAAAGAATTCCATGAAGAAGAATATCTCTCTTCATGTTCTTTTTGTTCCCAGTCATGAGGTTATATTTCAAATAGAAACTCAGTTAAGCAATCAAAAGTCATAAATTTTTACGTTATCTGTAAATTTCCATCTATAAAGAAAGTGCTAAAATAGTGATATTTCATCAGGATGGACCTGGTCGACTAGCTTGCGAGATCGATAGCATTTTTATTTTTATAGGATATTATCACAATACATACACTTGACTCACCTTCATTGACATGTTCCTGGTAGGCACTATCAAGAAGCTCTTGACATTCTTATTTGAAAGTAGCTTTATTCGCACTTGGTCTATTTTGAATTTGCCTGCAATATTTATGTTTCTAAGAAAGAGGCAATTTATACTGAAGAAGTCTGAAGAGCCTGTCCGGTCTAAAGACGTTGCTGTATCATCACATTGATAATGCATCACCATGATATAATATTTTAGGTGCCAAGCTTATATATGGCGTAGTTGAAATCTTTTTATTCGACCTTATGTGGCCCTACAGACTTCAGCCAGTTATTGTAGCAATCTTTGGACTTTTTTTCCTCCATCAAAAGCTAAAAAACCTTTGACGTCTTTGAAAACAGCCCTTCCCATAAATATTCAAGGGACATGTAAACCACTCCATAAGAAAAATTGTTTCTTAGCTCAAACCTTTGATACTTCAATACAGTAGAAAATAGGAAAGAAAAGTCTACTCAATAGCATTCTCTTGATCTTCTCTGCCACCAGAGATCTTGGTCGTCCCATGTCTGAAATTTTTGGATTCATCCAGTCTTGCAACAAGATGTTACATGGCTTCAGATCTCTATGAATAATCCTTCGTCTAGAATCTCTATGAAGTAAAGAGGACCCTGTTAGGTTGGTTGCCATTAATATGCAACAACCATTTGCTATTGCACCAACCATGTGCACTCATCCAAGATGTCAAAGGTTGGCAGCCACCATTGTTGAAGAAGAGTTGGAGTTGGCAGCCACCTTTGTTGAAGAAAAGCCTCCATGAATGCCTATAAATAGAGGCATATGCAAGAGAGCAAAATGAGTGAAGAGAATTATGAAAATGTGAAGAGAGTAGAGAGGAAGAGAGAGCTGCAATGGCAGCAGCCTTGCTGCCATTGCAGCAGCTGCAAGTGCAGCAAAGAGAGTTGAGAGTTGAGTATGAGAGGGTGTAATCCTCCTCCTCCATGTATTTGTTTTGTATTCTTTCTCTATCTCTAAATATATTGACTTCTCCCGTGGATGTAGGCGGTTGTGCCGAACCACGTTAAATATTGTGTCAGTGTGCTTGGCTCTCCTATGAGCAAGTATCAGAACATCACCGGTCGAAATTCCCAATAGACCTCGACAAATTATTTGGACTCTGTAGAAGCGCCTTTTCCAATCATATTGTTCTAAACTTTTGATCTACATAGATTGTTCCCAGAAAAAATGAAAACTAAATGGAAATTGTCGCCACCTTAGCATGTGACCGGCACACACCAACAAAAAATTTAAAAACACTAACAAAATATTCCGTCGGCGAGCAAACACCATTTCCTTAGCCATTTACATCATCGATGGATTTCCAGATGTAAAGACATCATCAAAAAAAAGTTTTATCAGGGATTTACTATTCGTGGGCATTTTCGATAATTTGTAATGCCGGCAGAAATGCCAACGGAATACTGGCATCAAAAACATAAAATGTACCAGCTAATTTTCGTCAGCCATTATATGTTTCCTAAAAAATGTCATTTATAATTAAAAAAATTATAAAAATCACAAGAATTAAAAAAAAAATTACAATGAACACGTCAGCTCTTCTATCTACAAACTTCTTCACTCCTTTCTCCCCATCTACCTTTATTATATAAGTTTCCTCATGTAACTTCATCAGGCTCACACCCAAAAAGTTGTTCCACCAAAAAAGAATTGTAAGAAAATCTAAACATATAAAAAATCAATTAAAAATTAAAAAAAATAATTTAAAAACCATATTAGGGGATTTGCATTGTTGATAAATAAAAGCGATCCATCAATATACTTGCTCACAAGATCATGTCTTTCTTTGTTTCAGTTTTGCAACTTGGATTGTGATTGCCTTTTAAATTCTTTTGATGCCATAATATTTTGAAACTTCACCTAATTATTCTTTGTGACATGACTCAATTTATACTTTTTCCATACCTCGACATCATAAATGTTAACATGGGTTTTTCTATATTTGTGGGCATTATATAATAAATCAAGAAACACATTGTAAAAATATTTGTTAAATATATATGAGATTTGAAAATTTAAGATTATAATTTCAAATATAAAATTTGTCAATTGTTTGACACTTGTCTAATTATGATATGTTTTTCCTACACTTTCCCAACCAGCTTCACATTTTCCCTTTTCCAATAAGATTTTGTTTGCCTTATCATTTCATACATTATTATGGGGATCTTTTCTATTGTATATCACAACATTCAAAATTATTTTCATACATAAGTTCAAAAATATGGATGTGAAATCTAACTTAAACGAGTTTAATTCATCTAAATTTAATAAAATTTCAGAGAGCTTCCTCTATATAAAACCTTACCTAAAATTTCTTCCTACTAACCATATATTGTAATGACCCTAAATTTTAATATCTTATTTTTTGAATACATTGAAAAATTTGGTGTGAATTTTTTTTATATTCTACTAAAATTTTAGCAGAGTCACCTTTGTATATAGCCTATACCAAGCTATCAACTATACTATTATAATACCATTCGATCATCAATACATCTCAATATGTCATCCAATCAATATACTTCTTGATATAAGTTCTACTATCAGTAAGTATGTCACTTATTCAATTTATACTTGACATAAATTATATAAATAGAATTTAAATAAACCGAAGGATTTCAATTAAAATAATATATGAAAATTTCAACTTACTACATTTATATAGATTAAGATTCAATACATTACAATTTACACAAAATGGCATAATATGTTCATACTACTAATACTTTATTTTGTTACATTACATATCCTTAATAAAAGTACTACCTTAAAAGACTATTAAGCAACTTGAGTGTATGAAGGTCTTGTTACAACATCAAATTCATAAACATGTTTTAAAATTTGAGGGAGTATTAATGAAATCCAAGTACAATGCATATAGTTAACTTACGACATTTAAATCCAAGTACAATGCATATAGTTAACTTATGACATGTAAACCCTCAGTTATAATTTTTCTGGGTTGTTAAAATATGAGAAATTTAACTAATAGTAAAATTGGGTAAATGAAATTAAAGAAACCTAAGTCAAGATAAAAATAGTGAAATTAATGAAATGAAAAGTGAATATACTACTGAATTGTTGAAAAGAAAAATATTTATAAGGACAAATGAATACATAAGACCAAGAAATGTCATTATTCAAAGAACAAAAGGTTGGGAGTTTATGTACAAATGATAAAAAGGGGGTGAGGATA